GAAGGAAGGAAGGAAGGAAGGAAGGAAGGAAGGAAGGAAGGAAGGAAGGAAGGAAGGAAGGAAGGAAGGGTGGGTGGGTTTCTTCACTCCTGTCTTCTTCTTTGGCTTGATTCATTCAGTTCACTTCTTTTGACTTTCAGGTTTTCAGAAATGTTACTGCTCTAATTGTTTTGAAGTCATGGGAAGTTCCAGATAAGAGTTTGTTTTTTTCCTTATTTCTCCAATTGCCCAGCCTCATTGATAGTATTGCTTGAGCAATCCTGCTTTGCTAGCCCATTCTTCCATCTCTTCTCTTACTAGAAAAAAAAAATCCAGTAAGGAAGAAATATATCTGGAGGCATTGTTCTTGTGTGCTTCTTGGCATATCTGACTGGCTTCTCTAGGAATCCAGTTGCTGTACTAGAATTTGGGAATCAAAAGCCTAGGATAAGGAAGCAAAATGAGACTTTATCTCCGGAGCTCATGGACCACCAGAAGAACTTGGCAGATGGGCAGATCAGGCCTGCAAACTGAGATTTGCTATGCCTGGTGGAAACTGTAAAACCACTAAAATCATTCAGTGTTTTTCAGCAGCTTCCATCCTAGAGAGTGTTTGAGATTTGTTAAGCTGGATCTTAATCAGCTTCCCAGAAGGTCTTTGGGTTGGTTTCTAACATTGCTATATTATCTGATGTTAAGAGAAGCATGATTCTTATGGCTGCCAAATTCTTTTGCTCAATTAAACAGATTTGTAAGATGGTGTCCCAAAGTTTTCTGTTTTGTGTTCCTTTTTCTTCCCCAGATGCTTTGTGTTTAGTTTTATCTTTTATAATAATTGTTGGGTTTCTTGCTTTGCTATGTAATGAGAAAGAACATATTTTACTTTTGGGAGGCATCTTTGTATTATAAAGATGAATTGAACTGAAGTATTATGCCTGCCCAAGATTATTTATTATTACTTACTTTACCTTTACATCATGCTTCCTCCAGAATGGATTTAGACAAAGAAGGCTCTTCTGGATTGATTGATTGAGTGATTGAGTGATTGATTGATTATGTGCCACCAAGTTGTCATTGACTCCTAGGGAACACATAGATAGATTTTCTCCATGATGATCCGTTCCTAACCTGGTCTTTCAGGCCTACCAACTGTGCCCCGATCACCACTGTAACTGAGTCCATCCCCCTTGCTGCTGATCATCCTCTTCTTCTCTTTCCTTCCACCTTTCCCAGCATTAGAGACTTCTCCAGAATAATGTGTCCAAAGTAAGATAATTTGAGCCTGGTCATTTGTGCCTCAAGGAAGAACTCTGGGTTGATTTGTTTGATGATCCATTTGTTTGTTTTCTTGGCTGTCCATGGTATTCTCCAGAGTCTTCTCTAATACCATAGTTCAAAGTTGTCAAGACTTTTCCTCTCCTGCTTCTTCAAAGTCCAACTTTTGCTTCCATAAAGTGTCCCAGGGAATATCATGGCTTGCCCGATTCTGATCTTTGTAGGTAACTGACTCCATTTCTTTTGCCTCCCAGCTGCAGCGAAACATCCTCTTCTGAATGTCTGAAAGATAAGGAAATTGAGCCACTTACTCATTTTGACAAGGTGGGTTTCATTTTTGTTCTGTGTTATTATTATTGTGGTTATTATTATACACATTTAAAAAACGATCAAAAATATAGTAGGGAAGAAAAAAAATAAGCCATAGAATGCAAATGGATGACCAACAAATCTTGATTAACCAGTAGATCCATAATATCATATGGCTAATATATTCTAAATCATCTTTAACAACTTAGAATAGTATAAAACATTTCATACCCAATTTCTATTCAAGAGATTTCTATAGCAACTTGCAAAAATATTAGGGTAGTACAACTAAAATCTACAAGGGGAAAAAGAAAAGCTATAAATATTACACAGTATATTGAAAGAATACTGTAAATAATATGTAGACTATATGTTAAATTCAAATATAAACCAAATTTGGGATGTGGCAAAATTCCATGTATAGAACTATAGTCTAGAAATGGTTTCCAAATAAGATTGAATTGTAGATCAGATTTACTTGACAAGTTGGCTTTCATGGGGCCACTTGTATCTCAACTATCCTCCTTTTCCTTGGGGGCCCCAAGGATATAATGCTGGAACAGGAGGAAGGAAAGAGTCACTTTTACCTGGAGGGAGTAGACCTATTTCTCAATCATTTCTCCTCCCTGCCTCCAGTTGTATTAGTACTAGCTTATTTGGGGGACGAAAGGGCTGGAAACCAAGGGTTGTGTCAACTCTAGATGACTTGTGCTGTTGGTTGGCCTCCATTATTAACAGATGCCTGGTGGACAAGTGGAAGGAATCATGACATCCCAGCATCCACTCCTTCTTGACAGTCTGCACCAGTTTGTGGGGCTGAACTTCCCACTGGACCAGCTGTTGGAGCAACTAAGGCCTGACCTCCCAATCAGGCAGCAGGTGGCTGAGCTGGAAACCCGCCAGAAGACCTTAGAGAACATTGTCTCAGTCCTGAGCCGGGAGCTGGGCAGAAAAGAAGAGGCCCCTGGAATCAGGCTTGGAGAAGCCCTGGCTAGGATCCTCTTTCTGGAGGAGAAAGTAAGAGATGCCCTTTGGAAAGATCAAGCTGATGCTTTTGAAAAAAATCAGATGTCTCCAATGACCGTTAGCAATTATAGGACACATTCTGAAGTGAAGATGCTTTCCCCCAGCATCAGAGGTACACAACCTGTGTTCGGAGCACCTTCCAAAGTTGCAGCTGTAATGCAATTTACCAGGTGAAAGAAGAAGGAAATTAGAAAATCCATGGCAAGACGCATTTCCTTGAAGGGTTGGCTCCTGAAAGCAGCTGCACGTTTTCTTGGCAACAGTACAGAAGCGGTTGGTCCTTGCTTTATTGCAGGACGTTCCTTTCAACTTCTCAATCTACTTTATAGGCCTGAGATTTTCTAGTGGTCTCCTATCCAACTATTAACCACGTCCAACTTTGGTGGTTGGTTTTACTGAAATCTCAGCCAAGGCTAGCTCAGACACTGCCATTTTCTTGCAGCCATTCCAGTCCTTACAAGTCTGTGAATTTGTCAGAATTTCTATCTCCATATTGCAGATAAAAGGCTGACGCTGAGAGATAATGTTGTACTTGTCTACTAACAACTTATGCTCTATCAGTTATGTCTCACAAGCTACTTTTGAAATGAATATCACATTTGGGGAGTGGCTGGCCTAGCCTCTCAACCCACTTTTTAAAGTTGTTTTGCAAGAGGGAGCATAATAGCAGGAAGGAAATATACTAACCCAGCTGTAAACAGAGTTGTTTGTTGCTAGCCATGATACGCATGTGATGACATTGTAATGCATACAAACTCTGCTGTTTTGTACATGTGTCCCAACCCTGGGTACAAGGGGTAGGGTTTGCATTATGACATCATAACACACTTTGTCACTTGCCCGCCTCCCACCAACAACTATGGTTCAAATTACAACCTGTGCAACTTCTCTTCTTGGTGCGGAAATGTCAGATTATGTTATGTAAAAGCTCTTGATGATCTTGACCCATTACTGGATTTTGGAAAGGAATAGCTTTCTTATGAAAGCAAATAACTGTGTGAACATTGAAACTGGTTTCACTCTTTGAGCTAAGCCATAGTTCGCTGTAACCATGGCTTTATTGAATAAGCTGCAATTGGCTAAATGACATAGGGTTGAGCAAGTTGTGTGAATCCAGCTGTGGGTCTTGTATTAAGCTTGCAATTGTAAAGGAGAAAAGGGCAGTGTGAAAAAATATTAAGCTTTACCCTTTTTCTCTTCCTGCGTTATTGATTATCATTCACTTGTCTCCATGAAGTAATACAATGCCAGGTTGCTAAGTTTGATTGACTCTATCAATATTCTGTTCCTTTTGCACGCATGTTCACCACATCCCCTCCCTGTATTCCTCCCAGATAGAACAACAAGACTCACTCTTGGCTCTCAAAGATGTGATGATCAGCGGCTTGGTGTCCCGGATCCAGGCCCTGGAGCATACCAGCTATGATGGGTGTTTCCTCTGGAAGGTCCCCAAGGTGGGGCTTCGAATGCGGGAAGCGCAAACTGGCAAACGGCCTGCCCTTTATTCCCCCTGTGAGTGACCAAATCCGGAGGTGAAAGGAAAGGGGGAAGTGGTTTCATAGAACAAAAGTCTCTATCTGCTGGCTAACTTTCTGTCTACTGTGTCTATGCACTTGCTCTACTGGGGAAACACAGGAAGGTATAGCGTGTGCATCCTGTTTGGACTTGCACAAGACCACACTTGCATCTGTTTTTATATCATGAAGATAAAGCTGTGAATTCATGGACCCATTCAGAAGTAGGCATTATGGTGTATCTCTCAGACCCTTTGTTGATGCTCCTGGAAAGAAAGAAAGAAAGAAAGAAAGAAAGAAAGAAAGAAAGAAAGAAAGAAAG